ATCGAATTAATAATTTAATATGTATTTACTGAGTCAGAACCAGAAGAAATTATTGTTTAAGCGATCGTTATTAATTTATCGAGGTTATACAGTAGATGACCAAAAGATTTTCTCGAAATTATTTTCGAGAAAAAAATCTACGGACGAGTAGGAGGGAATTGAATATATCAATGTAGAGAGTGGCAGAGCCAATGTGGGGATATGCTTCCCAACATTTTTCAAATTTCTATTAATTTATATATAAATAAATTTTTTTTTCCGGCATTAACCACTTCTCTCACAAATATTTTAATGCATTCGACCTCCAACTGAATATTCTTGCTCCGCTACTTAATATAGATGTACCGTTGTAGGCTACAAACTAACTTCTGAACACAAGGGATTTGAATATGCTTAAAAGTTTAAAACAAAGCCCAATATATAATAGGATTCATAAAAATCTAGGAATATTAAGTACACAAAATATTAAGAAAATCAACGCACAAGCAAGCATAGATTATAGGAAATATATAGACAATCACGAATTTACCCTTGTCACTAATTATTTATCAACTAACTAGGAGTGATAAAATGGCAAGATTGAAAAAAATAAAATTAATGTTTCATTGAAAATATAAGAGTTTTTTCGATTATGCTAAGAAATAGAAATAAGAAAGCGCTCTTAGTTTAATTCGATAGAACGTAGGTCTCCAAAACCCGATGTCGTGCGTTCAAATCCTACAGAGCGTGATTTTTTCTTCGTAGATCGAATTAGACTGAAATAAATTCCGAATCAGTCACTTGCACAACAATTAAAGTTGGCCCTCCCGTGGACTAAAGAGAGGGGGCGGCCAATAAAAAAATAAATGTTAATTAATCAAATATCAAACTATTCACCACATCTGTATTGTAAATATGCAGTTACAAACAATCCACCTAAAGTAATAGGAATTAGACCTAACAAAATTCTAAATAGGAAAACTTCAATCATTTCAACTTTCTAAAAGAAAAAAAACAAAGAAAAAAAAAAAAAAAAAAAAGAGGTGATATATAAACCTAAATATTAAATGTATTCAGCATAATCGGGATTTGGAATGTTGGTGTTTGCAAAAGCTTTCAAAAAGTGATTTTAAATTTTATTTTCGCTCGGAATAACTTATGAAATATTTACAATATAATTTTTTTCTTCTACTTCTCTTAAAATAAACTGTTTTAAGCTTTAATATGAAAACTCATGAGCAACTTATCTTAAACTAAATTACTTAAAGTCGATTTTTTATGGAGTTTGCATACACCTTTAACATTTAAAAATAAGCATCACAACAACTTCTTTTTTTGTTTTTCTAAATTTCTGCAAACACCGCCGTCTAATAACAAAGTATATTTGTTGTTTACCAATCTAAAATGATAATTTGATCTCTCAATATCGAGAATTTTAACAGAGATTATTGTCTCTATAAATCAAGATTCGAGAATAAGAATATCGATTAAAACTCTATTTTTGTATCATCTAATTTAAATAGTTTATCAACATAATATATATGTTTAAAGAGAAAAGTTATCATTTTCCTTTCACCAATTCCTCAAATTGATTAATGGTAAGATCATTTTTTTAGCTTCAAAATTCCGAATAACTCACATGGACACCATACTACCAAGGCCCA